TCCTACGACGCGCCTGTTCTTCCGAAAGGTCCAAAAAGGCTACGAAGTGCGCGAATTCGAGTTGGCTACAGCCCAGCAAAAAATCAGGCAACTAGAGGCCGAATTGGAGGCGCAACGCCCTCGCAAAAGGAAGAGGGTTGTGCCGGACCCCAACCAGGCCTTCGTAGATATACGCCGAGTTGCAGAGACAAGGGGTGATGCTATAGAGGTGGAGGAAAGTGCGTCTGAAACAGCGGAAAATTCTGATCAGGAATCAGTACACTCTTGCATCATGGTTGGTTGAATAGCGGTGGATATTTGCAGTTGAATGCACCGGGTTTGGTGGTGCAGTGGGCCCCGGCCAGGTGGCCGGAAGGGGGGGTGGCCGACAGGGGGCACTCCGACTTACCTTCTCGAATGCTCAGCATGGAGCGGACGCCTGTTCTGAACTTACGAAACTCGGTTGCAGGGTGCGCATAGCATTGATTACTTTACCGAAGTGTCACGATCAGGGCGAGTAGGCTTCGCAGCCAGGTTCAATTGATGCTACGGACAAAAGACTCTTCTATGGGGAGGGAAAAAGGGAGAGAGGCGCAGAGCGCCGAACACGCGATGCGGAAGAAAAGGTGGTGCGGCGTCTTGTCGCATGGGTGTTCCGTGGCGCGTGCTCGCGTGGATACCTGCGCTGTGCGAACTGCCCTGGGCCGTCACACGAAGCAGGTGTCAACGGACATTTGGGCCACTGTTGGGCCGACCAACCCCTCACGGGAACATGCCCAGTTGGGTGCGACCTACATAGCCAAGCGCTCGCGCTCCAGAAGACAGACCACCTCGGGTGCCGTACCCGTAGTGGCCTGTGCACGGTACCACTCCTTTGTATTGTCTTGGCATGTGTGTTTAGCCCGAGCTCATTTCCCCTCGACAGAGGACCAGGAACCCATGGCTCAAACCGGACTCTAGACAATTATCATAAGTTTGATCCCTCAATATGATCCGAGCCCCTTACGGCCCTTGTTACACGTATAAAGATATTGTAGGTACGGAGGTCCCGCTCGCGTCCGATTGGGAATTGGTAGGCAGGCCTTACCGGTGCTGGGCGTATTTTGGCTTGTCAGCCACAGGAGCTCTAGGAAGCAGTTGCCTAGGTGGCCACTTAGGCCAGCCCTGGAGGTACTGCCAGAGATACAGGTACCCCCTGTGACGGTCTGGGTCAAGGCCCGCAGGCCTTGACCCACAGACGAGGACCCACACGAAGAACCATGATCAAGGCGCGCTGAACGCGCGCCGAACACCGGAATCCCCCCTTTCCTTCCTTTCTCCCCTAGATTAGACGCCCTACTGCCGATTGCCCGCTCACTATCAAGGAGCGCCGGAATGCGGCCCGAACTCCGTGTGCCTTCGGGTTCAAAACTTGTTAGCCGCCTCGATAGCAACATGTAGCCTAGTGTTAAGCTTAGGTAGCGCTAGCACGTCATATGCCCCCTGGGAGGCAGGGACTGGTAGATCCCGACTTGATGACGTTAAATATACTCCTCCTCCTCCTCCTCCCCTAGATTAGAATCTTCGTTCGTAGCGCCAATTGACTATGTTCTAGTCTTCGACCATGGCCGTGACACCCCCGGTCCCTATGGCGCGTGAAAGTTTTACCAGTCCACCTTGCCAACAGATCCCAACAAATGAAGTCGGCCCGTATCCCCGAAATCCCAGTCCATGCCAAAGGACACCCTGGTACAGTTGGTGGAGCAACTTATCTTTTATTTTTGCTCTAGTTATGCCAAAATGCGCTGCGCAGGGGTTGAAAGCACTCCTAGCCAACGGCTGCTCTTGCTTGCATTCCCCCTCAACACATGAAATGAAACCCTTTACAGGTTTGCGATTGTTTTTGCCTACTACGGAGCAAGTCCTCTGCAACCAACTGTATGGCGATCTCATGCAACAGGTACTAATCCTCACGAAGGAAGTGGGTCCTTCCAGGGCCCTCCAGTCCGGGGTAAGTATCATGAACCTCGCCGGCGTCACGGATGCGCCCTAGAAAGTTGAGTGTCTCCTACCCTCTATCACCTTTTCTATGGTTCTTTAGAGATACAGATCAATCCTTTAGGACCCCTGCGCGCCCTCTACTCTGCATTAATAATTAATTGAAACCACTGAACTGTGCTGTGAGCGTTTATTAAGCGGCCCACTTTAAAGCCCCAGTTGCCACTTTTCTTATCCGGGGATGCAAACCCGGTGTGAAATTTCCCCAAACATCTGTTAGCTTCGCGTCGAGGAATAAAGTGGGGGTATCTCTGCAACGTTGTTTGTGTGGGGCCCTGATCAGGGTAGCTTGGCAGCTTGAAAAGGAAAAAGTTGCGTTGGACCGGGGATTGAGGGATGAAATGAGCTGTTAGTTGAGGCCCGTCCTGTCGAGGCCCCGCCGCGGACACGAGCCAACAACCGGATTGTGACCCGACACTGTGGTAAGCTAAGGTAATGCGTTGGTGGCACATGCTCACTGTCAATAGGGCAAACCCACATCCACTCCAACTCCACCGAAATTTCATCTTTCTGCTCCCACATTTTGTCTCCCTCTGGCGGTCTTGACAGATTTCCTGTGTCACGGCCATGGTCGAAGACTAAGTCAATTGGCGCTACGAACGAAGATTCTAATCTAGGGGAGAAAGGAAGGAAAGAGGGGATTCCGGTGTTCGGCACGCGTTCAGCACGTCTTGATCATGGTCCCTCGTGTGGGTCCTTGTCTGTGGGTCAAGGCCTGTGGGCCTTGACCCAGATCGTCACATCCTGCTCCATAGCCCACAGTTGCGTGGCTGCCGGACAGATTGTAACAGCGCGGTGCGGTGGTATGCGTTGTTCTCCTAGATAAGCTGTACGGACGAACGGCCTATAACTTGCCGCCAGCAGATTTCAATTCACCGTCTGGCCCTGCAAACTGCGGGGTCTGCCCCTTGGTGGCTGCGGTGCTTGCTCCACAGCATGCAAGCGGTTTAATTTATGCACCATCACCAGCCTGCCGCCAACAGTCGTTCCTTCATTTACCTACTCGTTTGGCCAGGAGCTCTTCCCCGAGCCCATCCTCGTTTAAAGTGCGGAGACTACAAGGGGGTCTATTTTTTGACCAGTCGCAGTCCAGCTATCGTTTTTTTAACCGGTCAAAACCGCCGACGATTTGACCGGGAATCCCCCACTCCTTCTTGGACGGGGATTGTCACGGCTACCAAGGGGTGCAGCGACTACGTGATTGGCACGTGGCTTTACTCCGCCATAGATAGATATCCCCGCCTCGCGAGGAGGCCCGTAGGGCAGATTCCTTGAATGAATAGCCTTCCGCACCACTAGTTTATTGACCCCCATCTGGCTCTGACGGGGATGTACGTCGGAGCGATTGACGATAAGTCAACACCAGGTGACAAGCCCGTGACCTTCAAATTAGAGCTCGCTTTTCATGTCATCAAAGTAAAGGAGTTATATAATTTCTATCCTTTTTGGCTTTGACTACCGGTGGTGGTTTATCCATGGACAACGGAAGTTCTTTGTCCTGGTCGAATCCTTAATAAACCTTAGAAAGCAAGGACTGCATGCAGCAGCGTTCCGTCACATGATATACTAAAGCTGTTATAGCCCGGGGCATGAACTGGTTACCAAACCGTCGGTACCTACCTAACTATAATTGGAAGGTGTATAAATTTCGGCATCCAGGGTGGTTACCCAACACCAACAACATTTACTATGGTGTCAGCCATGACCAGGAGAACTGAAAAAGCATTAAAGGCTCGACACATTCCACCATCGCGTGGAAAAGGTTCCGTTCGACAAATCATCCAACATTCGGCTTCCCTTCCGCAACAATGTCACACCCGTTTCAGGCACGGTCGCTGCAACCCCCCATGGCAACCAACCCACCACCACCACCACCACCAAGGTACTTTACAGATGGGCAGGGTAGCTCCTTCGGGACCATCGGCTCTGTCCAGCCCAGAGAATTTTTCTCACAGCTCTCCCAAGACGTACAAGCTATGGGTCAACCGATGCTCCCTTTGATTCAGCTGGTGCAAGATCTGCTACAGCAGGTGCAAGCTCTGTCTCAACAGGTGCAAGCTCTGTCTCAACAGGTGCAAACCCTCGGCCAGTAAGTCTCGCCCTACCAGATTTGGTATTTAATTGATCATTTATGTAACAATCAGTTCAGGTACATTTCTCCACACCAAAATTCATATGGCGAAGACCCCATGTCGGGCATTTTCAGGAGGGGCCCCCAGAGTATGCACTAGGACAGGTCCTTCCATACGCGACGAACGATAAAGTCATGCACCATCTTTTTGCATAGAGGATTAGGCGGGAATGGAATTTGGAGGAGCGTCACGGTACGATAGTAGGTGGGCTAGACGTGAACAGTCAATTGTAGATAAGGAGGAAGGAATCTAGGTGGCAGGCGGAGTGCCACGGGCCAAATCCCATATAAGATGGTTTGTGCACACAGGCCCACGTGCCACCCCATAACAATCTGGCGATCTGCTTTGCTGGCGGCAGTAATGGAGATAGTTGGATTCGCTACACCGGCCAACCTTCCCTCGGGAAATTTTGCCTTCAGACTCCATATTCACTTCGTTGGCAGTATTGGACCACTTGACAAGGACTGGGCTTTGCTAAGAGATACATCTGCCAACGCGAAGGAGCGTCCCTCGTGCCGTTATCTGCCCCGAGTGGGAATGGACCCATAGAAATCACCTTGTTGATGTCGTGGCTAGCTGAAGATCGAGCGGGTTAGCCGAAGACCGAGCGATGTGCAGACGGGGAGAGAGAGAGAGAGAGAGAGAGAGAGAGTATTATTAACGTCATCGTAGGTCGGAT